TTGATATATATATGGAGAGAGAGAGACATATTTAATCAGTGTATAATAAATAGGTGTTATTTTTATAATAAATATATTGTCTGATAATTAAATTCATTTAGTTTAACTTGTTAATGATAATAATAATTATTTCATATATCAGATATTATTATTTCTAGATATATATATATATATGATGACAGAATCAAATGTTTGTGAAAAAGATGAAAAAGAATGGAATAATTATAATCTATTTGCTTCAACACGAGATGTTGAAGATGAACAAATAATTGAATTTGAAGGAAAAATTCCTGAATGGTTAAAAGGTACTCTTTATCGTAATGGTCCAGGTGCTTTTGAAATAAATAATGATTTAAAAACATCAGTTAATCATGCATTTGATGGTTTTGCTTTTATTCAAAAATATTCAATTGATGGACAAGGACAATTAGTTCGTTTTCGTGGATCATTTATTAAATCACATGCATATGCTCAATCTTTATTAAATAATCGTTTAATTGTACGACAATTTGGTACAGATCCATGTAAATCAATATTTGGTAGATTTCAATCACTTTTTCGTCCTCAAGATCCAACAAAATCTACTGATGATACAGGTGTTACTGTTCAATTAGTACATAATCAATTATTAGCACTAACAGAAACCGTAACAGGCAATATTCTTGATCCAGATACACTTGAATTAATAGGTCCACTTATAACATTACCTTATAGTCAATCAATGGATTCAGAAATTTTTACAATAACAACAGCTCATGTTATGCATGATGATAAACGTCAAATGACAATTGGTTTTAGTGGAAGAATAACACATAAAGGACATTGGCTTGATGTTATATTCATATCAGATCCATCATTTAATCAAGATAAAACAGGTTTTTTTATTTATTTCATTAACAAACAAAAAATTTCTGTTTAAATATAGATGATGACGATGATGATGATATTGATAAATGGATATCTGCTAATAATCGTTTTATTAATATAACAAATAAAATGATTTCGAAAAGCAAAGATTATAATCGTAGTATTAAATCAAGTACAAAATTGTATCGTTTTCCATATGAATATGCATGTTATATGCATTCAGCATCAATTAGTGAAGATTATTTAATTTTAACAGAAATTCCCTATCATTTTAATACATTTTATGCTATATGGAATTGTATAGCTGGTGGTGCACTAACAGATATGTTTAAATGGAATGGTAAAACAATGCCAACTTATTTTCGTATTATTTCATTAGATACAGGTGAACAAATAGCACGTATACCAGGTCCACCTTTTTTTACATTTCATCATATTAATTCTTATCAAAATGAACATAATAAAAAACAAATTATTGTTGATATATGTGCTTTTGATGATCCAAGCATAGTAAATGAACTTTATGTGAATAAATTACGTCAAAATATATTTCCTTCAGGTGGTGGTTATCTTAGAAGATTCCAATTAGATTTAGATACAAATACATGTATTGAACCAAATGCTAATGCAAGACAACCGATAGGAATTCATTCAAATAGTTATTCAAATAGTCTTATACCAGTTCAATTTGAATTAGCACGTATTAATCCAAAATATTTAACAAAATCATATCGATATATATATGGTGTACGTGCTCAACCTGGTCGTTTATTTGATGCTTTAATTAAATTAGATGTTCAATCAAAAGAAGAAATAGGTCTATGGGAAGAAGAATGCACATCACCAAGTGAACCTATATTTGTTCCAAGACCTGATGCAAATTATGATCAAGAAGATGATGGAATTATTTTATCAGTTATTTTAGATCAAATAAATAAACGATCATTTTTACTTGTACTTGATGCTTTCACATTTAAAGAACTTGCTCGTGCCTATCTTCCTATACATATACCATTATCATTTCATGGCAATTTTTATTAATTACTCATATATTCAACGGTTTTCCCTTAACTTATATTAACATCGAAATAAAATTTCAAAAGAATAGAATTTACTTATTTTTTGGTTATTTCATACAATGACATATAAACTGTTTAGTTAAAATGATTATTTTCTAAGAGCCTCATAATAAATGTTTATTTATTTTTGTTTCATAAGATAATAGTTTTCTATGATTCAAACATCCTTGAATGGTTGCAAACGGTTTCTCTGTAATTATTTGTCTCACCATGGATAGTTATTGCCGATAATCAGCTGATTTATTTTACAAACTTTTCCAGTAGAACACCATAAACTTAAGTGGAGAGTTTTCTCATTTCAGTTAGAAAGAGTTCACAGAAAAACATAGTAAACTTCGTTCAGAATAACCTGAAAGTCGTTCAGTCAGACGAAGCAAAATGATGTCTTATGAAAAAGTTGCTCTTTCCACTGAACAATTTTTGAAGTCAAGCACGGTTGACCAGATCTTCTCAGGCAACTATGCATGAACGAGCTATTTTTATGGTTTTTCGAATGTTGGAAGTCGGCCATTTTGTAGCCCTTGAGAACTTCTTTCAAATGGATAATACGAGAAAAATTGTTCATTTCAATGTTGAATACAAACACTCTTCAGACATATCTCAAAATATCTGTGTATTTGAGGTGGAAATGCAAAATTTATGACATTTTGGGACATGACTGAAGGTCTCCTTAACTGTGTAGTAACAACAGCTTGGATTTGGTGTAAACATGGTGTCCTCAACGAGTACTTTCATCGTATAGCTGATTGTACTAGAATTAGAAGTAAAAGTGCCATGAACCAATGTAGGGTGTTATGCAGTTCCCACCTTTGATTCTTAAAAAGACAATAAAATAAATTGATTTAAACAATAATATTTTTAAAGATTTAATTCTATGAACAAAAAATATAATTAATGAAATCAAAGTTAGTTTATAAAGTATTTCATCAAAATGCAAGATTGACTATTTGAATGACTCAATAAAAAAAATTCTTTTGACAATCAATACTAAGTTTTTTACTTTAACATGAGGATAAAAACCAACTGCTGAACACTACTACTTTTTACATAAACGATTCTTTCTATTTGACTTAATTATCTCTATTCATTATTGTTTTGTTAATATTGATATTAAATTAAATAAAGAGAAAGAATTTCTTTTTTTGAAAATTATATTAATAGAAATATATCTCAACATAATTGACTTGAATAGAAAAGTTTCATTATATCATTATTCTTTAATAGAACGAAAACACATAAAAATCTATTTAAGAATAAATAATCATTTTGGTTTTCATTGTCACATAAACAAACAAAGAAGATTAGTTACAGTGAATATCAAAATTGTTCAATCACTTTTATGTGCAATTTTTTTCTGCAGTTGGAAATGCTAAAATGAATCCGAAGTGTTTTTTCTAGAAATCTTCTTTTGAGAAATTTACTCGTGGCTTTGATATTTTCAAATCGTTATTGGTCATAATTTTCTACATTAAAAACATTTTTTCGATTCATTTTAGCATTTCCGACTGCCGAAAAGAATTGGACATAAAGATGGTTGATCAATTTTGATACTTACTGACTGTCTCATTACTTCTTATTAGAAATCACAATAAACTATTCTCGTGATTTATTCACGTTTTTTTTTTTGAATGTAACTAAACGGTATCAGTCTATATATTAACAATTAAAACTATTGATAAACAATCGGTACAAGAATTTTGAAATATTGAAGAGAAAAGTTTCTCTAATAAATAAGAACTTAAAGAAAATCATAATTAATTATTTAGCGAACTTGTTCTCCTTCATTTGATTATTCAAATCTAGAAAATATCTAATCTAAAATGTTTCTGATAAATGAAAGTTGCCATTGAATGATGTATAATTGTTTCAGAAGCATTCCCTATTATTTATTTCTCTAATCGTTATAATCTAGTTATTTTTACTTTCTATTTGCATTGTTTTTTCTAATTTGTTTATTCTTTTTCTTTGATATATTATATATCTGTTTGAACAACAAAGTTTTATTTGAATAGACATTCTATTAAATATATAAATTTAACTTAGGATTTATTTTTTGTTTTTGCAATAGAATATCATCGGTTTTCTTAGAGTCAAAGAAAACCCTTTCTATCAACATTATGAAGAGCCTAGACTAGACCAAAAAAAATTCCATCTATAGACTAATGTGTTTCTAATCAATTAGTTATATAATTGAATCTTGAAAAGTTTTCAGTAAAGTATCTCAGACAAGTATTATCTCATTTTATATAAGATGTTCTTTGATGACGGAGATATTTGACAATTACTAAATCTTGTTTAATTGCATTATTTATTTCATAACGATTTATTACCATTAAACAATTTTAATGCGAAATTACAGAGAAAAACCGGCGGAAACAGATTATTGTTTATTCTATAGAATAGAATTAATATGAAGAAAAAAAGATAAAAAATATGATATATATTCGAATGAAACATTTCAATAAATCTCATTGAAAAGAGTGGCATTGACAGGCATCTCAAACAGTAAAAAAGAAAGCAAAGACTTTTCGATAATCGATGAATATGATTCAATATCTATGTGTTATATTAGTTAAGAAAAACTAATTCTTATTCGAAAATTGAGGGTGTGTGAATGAGCGGAGCATTTAAGCCCACAGCCACATCCTGAAAAAAAAGATTTCCTAGATAAAATTGAACAAGTTAAACAAAATGATATAAGAGAAGAAAATGAAATTGAGATAGCAGTTTCTATTGATAATGATTTACAAATGTATATATCAACAACAGTTGTTAAAGAAAAACCTAAGCGAATCGAACAATCCAAATGTATTGTAAGTATTGATTTTAAATATTTCTTTTTAGTTCATTTCAATTTGTGAAAAATTCATTTAGAAAATGGTTCGATTGTCTTTTGACAAACAAACACGTACTAGTGAAAACATGGGTGTAGGGTGTGGGTGTGGGTGTGGGTGTGTGGGTGTGGGTGAGGTGTGGTGTGGATGTGGGTGTTCGAGTTTTACTTTTGTTCGCACCCACACCCACGCCCACACCCACACCCACACCCTTTGTGATTTATACCTTCTGTCCATGTACGAGTGTGCGACTACCATATGGATAAAAGATTAGTCGAAGAACTGCACCAGCTTCTTTTGCACGTAAATTATAATTACTTTTTACTAGTTCATCAATAGATCTTTGAGCTGATTGTGGATCACCATCATTTTCGATTACACGTTCCAAATATTTATTTAGACGCGAACATATAGTAAAAATATTGGGTTGAGTCATGTTTAATGAGAAAGTATTCTTTCACATAATTTAAAAGTAAAATACATTATTTCTAGAAAATGAGAATAAAAAACAAAATCTAATTGACAAAGAACTAATTAATTATTAAGATAAATAATTCATAATATTTTACAACAATCGAAATTATATTTTCGATTGAAAATTATTAATAAATTGAAAAATTTCAAATGTTTTCAACTCAATATATAGTTTATTTTCGACGAACAGGTAAAGATGCAGTAAATGTTGATCGACTAGGAGTTTCTGTTATGGGTTTTAGAACGGTTCTTTCTGCTTTTGCTTTGGCTTGTTTGTAAAGATCTGTAGCTTCTTTTATTTTCTTCTCAGCTAATTCATTTTTCTTGAAATAATCTTGAACAAGAGTTACCAAACCTGTATTTGGTTGGATATCTTCTTCGGATATTTCTTCCGATAATCCACAGACACCAACTTTACACGGGTCACCTCCTTCAAAAAATGCCAAACAACATGCCCACATTAATTTTGGTACTTGTGGTTTTTCCGTTGAATCTCCACTAGTAGTCGATGCAATTATTTGAGCTTTTTGAATTTCTTTTTGTGCTTCATCTTGAGATAATTTTTTTTCTGCATGATCAAGATCAACAATATATCCATCATGATATTGACAATTGCCATATTTATTTTCCGATGAAGTATATGTTTGATGACATTTAGGACATGTTTTAACAGTTTCACCATCGAGACGTTTTTCTTCATCTTCATGATCTTGTTGAGTTTGTCGAAGAGTTTTCTTAAATTCGATATCTTCAACTAAAAGACTACGAAGCAGTGGATGTTTAACAACCATTACCATCCATTTTTCTTTTAAACTTATACTACTTTTCGGAGCCTTCAAAACAAAAAGAAAAAAGCTTATTTTCTTTTAAAAAAGAAATTTACATTTTCATCAGTTGGTGGTTGTTCAACAACAGCTTTTTTACATTTTTCTCGAATAAACTGATATAAATGTATATTTGATATTGAAACTGATTTTGACATCGATGAATCTGATACACTAAGCATTATTAAAGAATCAATATCGAATATTAACATTGAACGATTGTATTCATCACATTCTAAATTAAAACAAAAAAAGAAAACAAGAATTTTTTTAGTACAATATATACGGAATTAAAATAAGAAGAAATTCTTTGATTGAAACAATTTCTATTAAATTTTAAATCATTTGTTTATTAGAATGAATAAATGTTAAAGAGAGACGAATTACAACTGATTTAAGTTTTGTGAAATTTTTAATTAATTCATCTTTGAAATTCATCTGTTATCATGTTCTCTAATACTATTAGATAGTGATTCATTTAATTACAGTCATTTGTATGTTGTACTTTCTTATGTTCTATTTATATATATCGAATTATTCATTCTGTATCATTCAATGAATATTTCGAAAAGATTAGCCATTTATAATTTTGTCTAAAACTGACGATTTTCTATGAATAAAAAGATTTATGACTCTGACACATATCATTATTTAATCGTCGATCAAGAGTTAACTACTTCGAAATAATTTCTAAAAACTGTCTGACATAGTCAATTCTACTAATCAAATTCTCTTACAAAATATGTTATGAGCAAAATATATGTTTACACTTTCATTTCTTTAGTAAAATACGACGAAAAATACAAATAGGAAAATCTCTCTAATGTGAACACAAGCAGCAATGAACAAAAATTTTGATTATTGAAAAACATTCAACTGTATATTTTCGAATGATGATTATTTACTTTAAATCAATTTTTCATTAAATATTTTTAATAATTTATAAAATTCAAGCAATCATCTATTTTTCTGACATAATGTTCTTTTTATCATAAGAAACAAATAAATTAATCTTTTTGAAAGATAACTATCAACTGTGTTTTGAATTGAACTAAATATTTTCTAATACAAAAAAACGAATATAATTAGACCCTATTCTTACTGTCTAAGTACGTACAAATAGTCTATCTTCTTTTTTCGATATATTTCAAGATTTATATTATGGAAATATTTATTATGTATGAAGGTAGACATACCGTAGTCAAACATCCTGTCTAGCAAGATCTTCAAACTTGTATCAAAGATCTTGACCAAAATACAACGTACAAATACGTGAACAGATCTTGGCAAATTTAGGTGCAAGATAATATGATTATCTGGTACTAAGATCCTCTATGGGATCTTGTGCACAGATTTATAAGATCTTAGCTTTAGTAAACATGATTAAAAAAGGGCCATTGGAATCCATTGAGAGATGTTCCTAAATATTCCTAAAAATAATCTATCTGATGCAAAATTTAACGCTGCATCTAAATTCGGTGTCGGTTTTCTGTTATAATTACAAGATACAGAGATATAGAACTTATAAAAATAAAGTCATCATCATCATGAAGATCTTTGAATCAAGATTCTATTTTTTAGAACAGTTTCGCTCAATCTTTTTCCGAATAGTGACAAAATGATTTTCATATAGCTGGATGAAATCAAGATCTGTTCACTTTTCTGTACCTTGTATCTTAGCTAAGATCTTGCGAAATAAGATGTTCGACTAGAGTAAACATCTAGTTGTTTAGAATGAAAAAGTACATCGGGAAGATTTGACTATAATTCATGATAATCGAAAAAAATTGAAATCTAATTTTTATAGAGATTGAATTGTTGACAAAAATTTCATTTGATAATAAACTTCAGAAAAAAAAACTAATTTAATAAAGCTCTATTAAATTTTAATTATAGATTATAAATCTAAAATGATAATTAGTACAAAAATATTCATAACAAAATTAATTTAATAAGAAAATTAATATTAGAACTAAATATTAATGTTTTATTTTCGATTGAGAAACTCTTCATAACTAATACTTGACTATTTAAACACTAAAACTTTACCTGGAAGAGAAATTTCTATAGATTATCATATTTAAGACACTAATATCCTAATTAAAAGTATGAAAAAAAAATTTCTTTGACTCAAAATTCGATTAAAAACTATTGCAAAATAAACTTTCAAAATAACACTTTGAATTATTCGTAGCGTGATTTCAACATTGACAATCGGAATACTTTGAAAATTGTAAAAGGTAATTACTCGTCCTTTNAGATTCGGAATCAGCGTTAAAAACTGAGTCGATTTATATATATTACGAATAATTCGGAGAAAACATTTTTTTTTTGAAAAATCCCTGTATCCCCCTTCAGGGATGGTCTTCTCAATAATGACAATTTTTTCGATAACTCAGCCATTTCTTGACAGATCCTGCTCATCTTCGAACTCGATCGAGACATTGTTAAGACTGAACTGTGTAGAAAATTTCATCGTGATCGGACTCTCCTTTCGAAAGTTATCGTGTATACGGACGGACGGACGGACGGACATACTGATCGATTCTAGAGTGTGCTCACTTTTTGAGTACACAAAAAAACAAAGAAAATCTTTATATAAATTCATTGTTTTTTTTCCATTGAATCCTAGGATTTATAACTACTGTGATTAGTTTTATAATTCAGATTCACTATTTATGATCATATACTTTTAACTAACCTAACAGCTGCTATTGGATTAAGTGTTTGAGCAGGAACTGGTTTTGAAAAAGTTAATGATGCTACCGTAGTTGTTGGTGAACGATTTGTTGTTGTTGTTGTTAAACTAAATATAATTTGATTTCATATGAAAATTAAATCTTATAGAATAAATTTCATTACTTATTCTTTGTTGGACTTAAATATTCTTGATAATGACCCATTACTTCGAATACAATTGGTTTTGTTCGAAGATAATCAACAAATGAATGTGTTACAATAACACTGAACTATAACAGAAAAAAAAATGTTGACAATAGTTTGTTTGTAAGAAAATGAAATTTTATTTTAATCTTACATTTTGTACATGAAAAAAACCTAATGGTGGTCCTGGTTTGCCTTGATTTTTAAGTGGTTCGGTTGAATATGCTTCATGATGTTGATGTAAAAAATTAAATTGACAAAAAATATCTGCATAATCTGATGATATTTGTGATGCTTCTAAAACTGTTACACGAAATTGATATTCAATACCAAGTTGTGGTACGAATTCATTTGATGAAATATCATTTTTAAGTATTATTTGAGATAATTCTATATTATTAAAGTAAAAAACAAAATCAATAAAAAAAAGAAATAAAAATTCGAAATATATTTACTAGAAAGATTAGATGATGGTGAAAAATCAGAAATCATTTTTTGCTGTAAAATATCATTAAGACCAAATTGAGATTGTCCTTCGACATAACGAAAATGTGAATCCATAGAATCACATGCTTTTATTAAATCACCCGTAGATGAACTTTTCATAGTCTTAAAAAGAATATTGCAAAAATCATTTGCCTTTCACTGGCAGAAAGTTAAATAAAAATAAACAGACAATGTTGTTGCGAGATGAATAGGAAGGACAAACTAGTGATAGATCGGTTCACGGTGGTTTTGTGTTCTTTTCTCTTTCCTACAAATTCTGGTGAATATTTGTCTTTATAGGATCGGAATAGAATTACAGAAACAAGTTTTTTTTAATCTCAATGTCGATCTGATTCCGTAGATTTCTATTTGAGACAATATTCTTTTATCACAGCTGACTATTCTTCATTTAAAATAAATAAAATTATTTGTTCAACGAATTGTACGAAAACTTTGTTAAACAGAAAATAATTCAAACAAGTTTCGATTTAATTTCATTTGACAAACAACTGCTCAATTTTCTTTCTTTTTTTTTTATTTAGTTTCCATCATCTTTTGACTTATCGTATTTATTATGAGACTGAACAGATTCATTTGAATTATGACATTTATTCTGCATAGATGTCATGACACTTTAACCAAATCAACAAAAAAAGAGCATACTCATTTTTTAGCATATATGACATTAATTTTGCAAAATCTTAATGTCAAAAAACACAATCCTCTTATCATAAAACATTACTTCTTTAATATCTGTCCTATCTCAATATATATATATAGCTTTTTCTATATAAAAAAGCTATTAGCACAATCCGTAGGGGATTAATATGTAAAAACACGATGTAGCTGTTCTTGCTAATCACAGGAGAATTGTTTTATTCTATCTATTTTAAGACATATTTCTTTACCATCTTTTCTCTCGATCCTTCATAAATGCAATAAGGAAATAGTTCATTTATTATAACGAGACTTTATTAATATACAATCTTTAATTGTATATTTGTCACAATCTGCAACACAGAAAGAGAAAAGTATTGTTATAGTGTTTGTCATAGTGGGTGTAAATATCTACTCTATTATACTTCAACACTATTTTTAAATCATATTTCACAAAATAAAACATACTTGAAAATAATTTTCATCATCAAAAATAATTTTTGTCATTCCACTTGCATTTCTATATGTTCTCATTAGTTTAATTTGTTCATTAGTTGTATCAGTTGTTTGTAATTGTTGTACAGCTACTTTTAAATAACCTTTTATTTCACCATGTTCAGATACAATAGCAACATTTTGTACTAATGGTATACCATATAAAAGATTTGTTAAATAAACAAATGCTCTTTTGAGAAAAACAAAACAAAACACAATGATAGAATATGGAAAGAAAAAAAAAACATTTATTTTTACCTTCCAATTGGTCGAAACCAAGGAAAACGATCATAAAATGGATCAGTTTGAATTGTAGATGTTGACATATCACCAGTTAATATTGATTCAAGATTTTGATCAGGTGATGTTGGTGAAATATCAGCAGCATTTGTATACATTTCACGCATTAATTCAAGTCGTTGCCTATTTTAAAATACAAACACACAGTTATTAATTATTTCATAATTAATAGAAATTTTCAAAATATATTTAATTATATACAATATAAAAGAATACAACATACACAAACCTGGCTTTCGAAGAAAAATCAAATTGTCCTTTAATAGTTGGTGTTGGAATTGAATCATCAAAACTTGAATGTTGAGTATCAGATGTCATAATAATATGTTGCGATGATAAATCGCTCATATCATTATAACTTACTGCACGTGGCATTGATATTTGTTCACAATTGTATATATGACGCATAATTTCCAGACGCGATCTATATGTTTGTGCGGATATAGATTCGAGAGGATATTTAAATTTATAGTTTAGGATTAAAAGAAGAAAAAATATAACATTTTATTTACACTTAAGAGAAACTATCGAACTTAATTAATAAATCTTTGTCAAATATGAATTTAAAAAGAAAATTATACAAATTAAATAAGAACTTGATAAATTTAATAGAATTCATTCAATTGATTATTTCGGGATAGTAGGGAAGATATTTTATTTGAACAAAATTTCTGAATTAATTTTGTTCTATTAAGAGAAGAACGAAATGTCTAGTGTAAATATATATGCAAAAAACAAAATCGATTGGAAATGTTTCCTGACGAGTATAAAAACCTTAGAACAAAATATATTAGGAAATTCTTTCGCAACTTTTTCGAACTTATAATGATAGTAGCAAAAAAACGAAATATTCTATGTGCTTTGTAACATCTACAATGATTGATTTTTCATAAATGAAGATAATCGCATTCGAACAAACTAGATTTTACTTCAAGAGCGAAATTTCTAGAAGCTAAGTACATGAAACTTGTCGAGTTCTCTACTAAATGGTATTATTTAGAATAGTACACAAACTCTCTGTGAGATACTCAAACGAAAATCTTCTGTTTTTTTTTTATGGTAGTTTAAACATCAAATTGAATTTTTAATTACACATTCTATTGTTCAATCTCTTGTACGCTAGAATAAATAATATAGGATGAAGGTTTATCGTGTTCTAATAAACAAGTGTTTATATATTAATTCTGAAAAACATCAAAATTAGATAATAGAATAACTCAAACAGTGTCAGACATAGGTCAAATTTTTGTGATCTGACTTGAACTCGGATATATGTGACCAAAAAAAAAAAATGATTACTGAAGTTCCGAAAGAGTTTCTCGATGTCTTATTTTGCAATTTTTTATGTCCTTCGGGAAACATTTCCCATCAAATGTTTGTATATATTTCTGCACTAGATATTTTGCTCAATGTTATATTAAAAACAAAATTAATGTAAAACTTTTGCTGAAAATTTACGAGTAATATGTTATTCAAGCGAATACTTTCTTGCAAAAAAAAAACATTTATTTCTTTATGGAAAATTGACTTACCGAAATTTTTCTAATGTCCAATAATGTCGGGCGCCATTTTTTAAGTCTTGTACTTCAACAGCAACAATTGTACGTTGTGATGATGATGGTGATAAACATAAATCAGTAGGTAATGGTGAATAAAGTGTATCAGTTAAAAGAACAAATTGAAATTGAACACGTTTATGTAATTCAACACTTATCGCATTTGCTTCTTTTAAATAAACACTATTACCCCATAAAAGATCCTATGAAAATAATAAATACTCTTTTAAAATGAATAAAATTTCGAAAATAAAATAAAACAAAAACAAAACACAAAAAGCATAAGTCAATAATTAGAATATATTGAGATATTTTATAAGCGAAATTTAAGAATAATATGAAAATTGTTTGTAAAGCATTCATATTCGGCACGCAATATGCGGTGAAACTAAAGTTTAATCGAATGGATTCTACATAAGAGGGAATCTATTCGACTAATAATCTCCGTTTGAGCTCATAGTTAAGGCTCAAAATGTAAATAAAAAACGTGTTCTCTCGACTTATGCTCATTTTATTGAAATTTCAGTCTGTTACAGAATCTCACGAGAAACTAAGAGTTTCGGTTTGAATATTTTTTAGCACTCTTGTCTTAAAGTAATGTTTCTATAAATGTACTATCTCAGAATGGAAACATTTGGCTGAGCTGAAACTTTCAGATCATTATAAGAATCATGAGAGCTATTGTTAAGGAAAATTTCAGGTTGAATTGTTGAGAATTTTCTCGTGATATCATGCAATAGATTGAAAGTAGAATAAAATGATCATAACTTGAAAACGCGATTTTTATTTACATTTTCAATCCTACTTATAATTTCAAATAGAGATTATCAGTCGGATTACTGTAATAATTGTTTAGTTTCAAGAAAAATCAGCGTATAACATGAACTAAGAATATGATCTCAATGTATAAACTTGCAATTTCGAGTTTACTTTTCTTGATCGTATAAGAATAAAATATAATAAATGATTGAGTAGAGTTGTAAATCTGTATATTTGAATAATGCATGAAAATAATTTTTCAATAAACTTTGTTCGAAATGCTTATTTTTGTTTTATTCTTCAGCGACTGTCCATCATTAACTTGTGACATTTTTCTCCATCAGCTAATTTTTTTGTAAACTTCACACAATGTTGAATATGAATTTCGCTATTCCCCTTAATCATCATAGAAGATTAAGCAGTTCAGTAGTATGTATTGATCACTCATGGTTAGATTAAGTTAAGACTACTAATTGACTTAATTTTATATGCCATTACATTACTATAGATTACTGCGTTTATTCAAGTAGGTTCAAGATTTTATGCTGATTTTTCTTGGTGATAAAAAATTCGGTTTCGCTACATATAAGTTCATTTTTCAAAGATTTATTTTATTAAGATTTTAGTTCAGACTGAAGTCTAACAGAGTTAAAATTTCAAGTTCTATCGACTGGTATATATCTGAAGTAAAACGGCGCTCATAGTGTGTTTTCGTAATATCCAATTCTTATTGACTGTATGACAGAAGTATTCTAAGCAGATATTTATCTATTTTGGCAGAAATATTACGAGAATGTTGCTCTCAGAATATTCTTTACCAATGACAAATGTCTTGAATTGTTACGGAGTCATAAATCATTGAGTTAACTAACGATTAAGTATTCTAAAGCTAAGCAAATCATCTCAAACCTTTGTAGTTCTAAACTGCCAATTGAATTCTCTTTTAGATGACTATTTTTTCCTTTAACAAAACAACAATTATAACCAATATAATGTGATATAAAATTTTAAAACAACATCAATAGATCAACAGACAAAACACAAATATACCTTAATCAACCAAATAGGTTGAATACGATTTGAATAATCCTATTTAAAGTTAATGAGTAAAACTTTTATCTCAAAAATCTATTATTCAGAAAAATAAAAACATACTCTTAATGATGTCATTTGATGATAACGCCATTTTTTCCATGCCCACCAGGCTAATTGATAATCTTGTTCGGACCAAGAACAATCTGAAAAAAAAAACAATAGAACAATAAAAATCTATTTATTTATTATTTCTTACAATTAAGTGTATCATTATCATTTTCATTAAAATCTTGTTGAAATGGATTTTGTTTAAATGATGATGTATCAACAAAACCTGATGATGATAAAATAGATGAAAGCATTGATTGACTCATTGACGTTTCCATAACTTGTTTTTGTAATTCAACTATTTTAGATTCATATTCAAGTTTTTGTTCACGTAAAAGACGATCAGCTTCTTCTTTTTCTCTTTTAAATGCTTCTTCCATTGTTAAAAGTCTTTACAACAAAAAAAAAAAAAAAATTTATTTTTTTCTAATAGAAAAACAAAAACTATATAATTTGTTTACTTTTTTTCCATTTCATGTTTTATATCAACACCTTGTTTTTCTAATAATTCTTGTATTGCACTATTCCAATCAGTTGGTTCTATATGATTCGAAAAAAAAAAACATTACATAAGTTTTTTGCATTCGAAAACAACCTACCACCAGATGTTTCTGATTTTGTATTCTTTTTTCGTGCTTGTTCAGGATTAAGAAAACGAAAAACATGTGATTTACCAAATATAACACGTGATCCTGATGTTAAATCAACGGCTGTACCAAAATCCACTTTTTTTCCATTAACATAACACATTGTTGTTTCACTACATGGTTTTAAATGAACAATATTTTGAGAATTTGTTATTATACAATGTTCAGGTTCTATATGAGAACCAGACAAAACAATATCTTGATGTACGGGTGCATCAGGACGGCCAACACTAGATAAACATTTTGAAAAAAAAGAACACAAAATATGATATACTAAAGATTATTAAATTCAATTTTGAACAACTGAGAAAAGTTCACCGAAACTTAATTGAATCGATATACTTACTCATATGAGTCAAGTACGATTGAAAAAAGTAGAATGACATATCTGATTACTGAATTCTTGCTTATAAGTTTCTACTATTTCAGGAAGTTTTCCGGTCGGAAACATTGTCTTCATTCCAGCAAGTTCTCACCGGAAATACAAGGATGTTAGCGTCACAATCATTTAACTGAATAAAGAATTTCTTCAAGCAATGTACTCACTAATTTCGGAATTTAGAAATTAGAATTGTCTAGTATTATAGACGTATCAAAGAACAAAACCATCAAAAATATTATAATATTGTTTTTGATAGACTTATAAGAACATTTTTAAATTTATAACTTAGGTGAAGATGATAGTCATTAGTTTTTGTCTGCCATAGCATTCAATTGAGATTAATTTATATGTATAAAATCTTACCGAGTTGTACCATCTTTAATAAAATACATTAAACATTCAGACATTAATGGATCTTCATTAAGATTAACCAAATGAGGAGACTAAAATAATAATAATATATATATATATCATTACTAATATATTTATTTTTATATAAATTCTTACATTTTTTGGTGAAAAAATACCAACAGCATTTCCATCATTTTTTGAATAAACACCAAGTTCATGAAAAGCTGCTTCTCTAAAAAGAAATTTAATCGTATTATTTCAATTGTTTATTTAACCTTTATTTATACCTTTCAGCCATAATTTTTTCTGTTTTCTTTAATTTTTCTTCATATGACATACATAATGAATCCATTAATTTTTGATTTTCTTTTAAACGTTCTAATGCATCTTCACTACTTTGTGATGAAGTAGATTTTAATCGTTGATGTTTAGTAGGATTTGTTGTTGTTGTTGTTGTAGGTACAATTGACATTGGTGTACCATCTGGTGATATATCAATACCAGCTTCATGTCTTAATAATTCTCGTAATTTAATTATCTCTTCTTTTAAGTCACGTATAAGTTTTGCATTTGCATCTTCATTAATAACAGCTTTACAAACAATTGCTTTTGCACGATCAGCATATCGAAGTGTAGATAAAGTTTCTTCATAATTAATGTCAGCCGGAGATATTGCTGCTATCATAGCGGTTTTTGAATTACCACCTAAAGTAAAAAAAAATAGAAAAATAAATCTTGAAATTAAAAGAATCTTTTTTTTTTGGTTTTTAGCTTTAAATTTATGTTAGTAAATTAGACAAATGTTATTCTTACATACGTATTTTTAATAGTCGATTTGATTTTATCTGAAGATTACTTTTCGCAATAGAAATTTTTCAAAAAGAAAAAACAAAAATACAATTCTATTTAATTAAACTTACCAAGATTTTCTTTTAATAACCAAGTTAATACGGAATCACGATATGGAATAAAATCAACTTTTTTTTCTGAACGTGTTTTACGATGTTTTGAGCTCTAAAAACAAATATATATATATAATTCATTTTATTATATTTTTCTTTTCGTTTGACTAATTAAACAAACCATTTCAGCAAGTGCTGCAATAACTTTTCCAAGTGTTGTTAATGATTTATTAATATTTGCACCTTCTTTTAATCGATCACCTGTTGCACCAGTTGCATCAGCACGTTCACTTCCAGCTAAATCTACTAATGAAATTTTCGATTGTTTTTCAGCTGTTAAATCTGTCATTGTATCATATGTTGATTGTGAAAATAATATTGTAAATACAGCATGTGATCGACTTGATGTTTCATTCATATTTGTAGCTGCTACTGTTCGAGCTTTATTACCTTCATCAATTAATCTTGATATATCATCATATGATGTTACAAGTAAACGAGATAAATCTTCAACATATGGTCCCATAATAGGATGTTCACGAACACGTAAATTATGTGAACTTCCAACATTAGTTGATTGACTTTTTTTCGGTGAAAGTAAATCTCGTACACGTTCACAATAAATTTCCATATATGATACTTCAACTGTATAACGTGGTTTTATATGAGATGATGATGATGATGATGACAATAATAATGATGATGTTGTTGGAGTTATTGATGATGTTATACGTTCAAATAATTCTCCACATAAACGAGGAATAATACCTTGTTGTTCAATTTCATTCTTTCCCATCATTGTATAAGATTTTCCGGCACCTGTTTGTCCATATGCAAATATACAAACATTATATCCTTCAAAAGCATGTTCTAACATTTCAATTCCTAAATCTTGATAAACTTTTTTTTGTGTTGCAAATTTTTGATTATTAACATTTTCATCACATGACCAATATGAATAATCATATTTATAATGTTTTATTGTATCATCAATTGGATTTCGTATAAATGTTGTTTGTTCTTGTTGATCCATACGTATTATACATTTGGCTTGACGTGTTCGTTCACGTGCATTAAATGGCCGCACACGAACGGCTACTTTGACCGACGTCATCTTCTATATGATGGCGAACGATCTGAAAGATACTAAGAAAAAAAACCAACAACAATAACAATACATCAGTTTCTAATAAAAAAAAAAGAAGAACATAAGAATGTGATTGAATGCTATTGTCTTTCTTGATAATGCAAGCGAACATGCACGACCATATAGATGAGGAAATATAAGATAGAAAAGATGGAAGAACAGGAAAAAACAAATCATGAGTACGCTCGCTCGTTGTTTGTTGACAAAGATTTATCAATTTTGTTGACACACAACAATAGCGAAAAAAAAACATGTTTTAATCATATAGATTCTTATAAATCGAACGACAAATGATCTGCTATCTTTTGATGAAGACAAGAAAAAGGATATAGTACTATTGTTTTGTCTAAATAAATAAATACGTTAAAATCATTATGGTAATACGATAGATATTATTGTTGTTAGTTAATATTACCCATTTGTCCATAAATACTAAAACAGAAAGAAAAACATTAGCCTTTCAAAAATAATTTCTATTTAATCAAGCATAATGCATTATCTTGTCGTTTTTATCTAGCCTTGACAGGTCCTTAATTGTTTGCACAGTTAGAAAGGCGTATTTATTCAAAATTACTCATTGACTATATTAAAAAAAGATTCTGTATCATTTTAATAATGACATTGCTAATGTTAACAGATATGAAAAGAAAAACTTACTAAGTAATATTAGGAGATATAATTATCAATGTCTCTTTTATTTTCTCATCTTTAACAGATAACATTGAAAAATTAACATCTCAATATATAAATGATGCTTTATCAATATTTCGTTTGACTTAAGTATGTGAGAATAACTTATTGAATAAAATATGTTTTAGTATTAATTAAAACCTTATTTTTAAGAATCATTTTATACTTCTATTAATTTTTATTTTTCATTAATAGAAAAAAAAAATATATATATATATACAACTAACTAGATAGAATGATCATTTTTAAGGACTAGATCATATTTGACAGAGATGATCGATTAATAATGAATAACTTTTATTATTATAAAACTCGCGTGATTCGCATATTTTATTATTTGAATATATTTTCATGATCTATAAAATGACTCGATCTACATATAGTGAATCATAAAATTATTCGACTAGATTTCAATTTTTTTTTTAATGTTGTAAACGCTAAGAAAAATCTAAACAATGATTTGAGTAGAGAATAGTCTCTACGACGTTTCTAATTGATGAAAATGTCTTGACAAATTACATAGCGGATGTTCTTTTCTGAATGACTCTTACGCTGTGATTCACGCTTTTTTTCTTCTGACTCACATATATCAATGTATCATTATTTTGTGGATCCTTCTTAGCGCATTTAAGATATTGAAAAATAAGCCTGATCGAATAATGTTGCTAGTGACTATGGTATATACTGTTTTATTCTTGAGTTTAGTTTATCAACACTGATATCTATTTTAACCAAACTCGAACACAAGGATTAATTTTTCTAGTTGTTTGAATACTATTTTAAATGAATAAATTCTTTAAGTTGAAATATTAATTCATTCATGTTTTTGTGATAACTCTATTTCATTAAATAAGATAAGGAAATTTTTATTAAGAATCGACTAAATAGATTTTAGTTCATTTTGAATAAAGAATAAAAAATTTGAAACGAATTCTTATTGTTAACCGTTTCAACTTACGAAGAAACGTACTCAAATATGACTCCCCAATCAAACTGATATTTTGCCAATAAGTAAATTCTGATAAGACTACTAGGATCTTATCAGAATGTATCCCAATGCATTGTTCTTCTCAAGTTATTAAATTTTAAAGGAATCTTTATCATGGACAAAACAACTGAATTATAAAATTTTGTCCATAGGTAAATTTCGTAAACATTTGAATGCGATGAAAATTGCGGCTTAAAGGGATACATTCCCCTCAAGCTATTGAATATCCTAGAGAAGTCGTACGTCACAAGAAAAGGTGAGAAAGACAAATATTTTCAACATTCAATACCTTAAGAACCTATCCCTATAGGCTGAAATTTTCAATGAATTTAAATAACCATGGGCAAGATTTTATAATTCGATTATTTAATAAACACCTTACAAGAAATTTAAAAATTCATTAAAATTGTAAGAACCAGTGTTTTATTCAAGTTTTTTCTCCGCGATGGGCACACATCTATTGTCAGGAGTATAGACACAAGAATCACAAGCTCTCGAAGTGTTAACCAATCTTAGGAGGGACGTTGCTGTCTCGGCCCCCACGCTGTATAAAATACTAGTAATAACTTGAAAAGGATAATGCATAGAGACGAACTCTCATAGACTTCTAATAATCTCGTTAGGCCTACTTACAGGTAAAATGTCAGTTCAATTGGCCAGTCACACTCAGAAAACTTTTCTTGTTAGACAACTACTGCATATCAATTTTTCGAGCAATGATTTAAAGTTTTTACAGAAGAAAAGAATAATATATTCAGCGCAAAATTATGTCAATATGACGATTGATAAGTCATTTTTTCGTATATTTAAGTTTATCAGGAAAGATAATTATTAGATTCAACTAAGAAAAAGACCATGTCCGGTCTTTTATCATTTCGTTCGTCTAATATCATATTGATCATTATGATTTCTATTCTTTTTTTTTTCTTAACGATAATATTGTAGATCTCTTCCTTGTTTATGTAAATAATCACTCAGGAGACTTCGATTCTCTGATGACTTTCAATCAACTTACTCATTTATAGATTTTGTATTGTTCGTTTCTTCCACTCATTTATTGAATCTATAAACGATTGTATATCATTCATTTCCTGTCGAATGACTAGAAGATTTTTTTTTTTTTTGAAAAAAAAATGAAACAAAAAATATATCTTCTACCATCATGTCGTTTATTCGCTTTTTCAATAATATTCTCATTTGTTTTAAGATTTAATTGAATATCTTCAATAGTTTTATCTATTTGTACATGTTTTATTTTTTCAATTGTTAATAATTCATATTGAATATTTTCTTTTCGAGTATATTGTTCTTCATTTTTATTAAGATTTTGTTTTGTATCGGATAATGAAGAATGAATAGAATGAAAATGAAGTTTTTCATATTGAGATAATAAATAAATTAATTGTTTTAAACGATAAATGAAATCATTCCATTGATGATAAAGTAATGTTGATCTAGAAGAAAACTATTTTAAAATTATTAAAATTTAAAACAGAAATTTTCTACTGATCAATATTTTGCATTACAAAGAATAATGATAAATACGAAATTAAAAAGAGAAAACAGCGCATTAATTAACAATCTAGAATTTTAGATTATTTTCTCTGAAAACCGGAAAACTATTTTTTTTTCCGGTAAGATGATCGAATTTTGACAGCTGACGTTCATGATTAGATTAGATTGTCCTTTATAAGATTTTTTGTTTCTCATTCAAAAAACATTGATTTATTATTTTAATTAAATAAAATAATTTATATTTTTTTTTTATATGATAAACAATTTGAACAGAATGTAAGTGCATTAATGCATTAGAATGCTATTTCATCAACCAATAGAAAATTGCTCTTCGTTTCACGATAAAAATAGTAGTTGTTCGTCTTCTGGTCTGACATATTGAACGGAGAACTTTTTTTTCTTTTTAATCAAATTAAGTGTCTATCGGGTAAATTATAGAATGTGTTAAATATGCGATGGTTTCCTCAGTGGATGAGATAGAAATTTATTCGTTGTATTCATAATTGTTGAGCAGAAAAAAAAGTAATTAATGAAATGAATGTTGTAAAAATTATTTCGATGAATTTTGCCAAATGATACTAATATGATTGATATCATATGTTTTTTTAGGATGAGATTTTCTACTAGTTTTGAACGTTTCATACCGTTAGAGAAGTAGAAATCAATCTTAGTAGAGTGAGTACAGCACTACATGTAACAGATATATTACTTGATGTAAAGAAATATTCGTGAGAATTTTGTTTGGTAGTATGATGAAATATCAAATCACATAATTTAACTTTGCTTTCTTAGTTAGATTTTTCATTGCTTTGAAAATTTATTTTTAATCATTTTTTTTTTTTACTAATGTATCATATTCTATGTGAGACTATTTGGAACACGGGATCTCTTCTGTTCAACTCTTTCTATCAATTCCAAAGGCACCACCGATGAATCAATCATTGGAATAAAATATTGGTGTTGCTGTTCAGGCGCACTCTCGTTTGTGACAACAGTTGGATCACTCTAGTGATTATTGAAGAAGAGAACGACTTGTCAAAAATTCTATCTGAGCGAGAGAGTTCAGGGACGTCTCATTTCGTGTTATGTGAGAAAATTTTATGCCGGAGTTATAGATGCTGAAAAGCTAAAGGTTTACTTTTCTACAAAAAGTTTGTAGTGACCATTTTGAGTTTTCTTATTTCGTTTTTATCTAGCTTTCTAAGAGATATTCCTAAAAAAAACGAAGGTTTGAAAATTTGTGTCTATATATTTCACCATAGAATTTAGGTCAACTACAATACACTACCGATATTTTGATTGTTTCATTAGAAAAAAAGTTATGATAAATCATGACTATTTTTTGTTGTGAACTTTATAACCTTAAAAAAAGCTGCCTACTAAACTTTGCCCTATTTCCCATGATATATATGACTAATTCCGATTAGTTTTGCGTGACACTACAGTTGAGTTTATTATCATTCTTCATCTAAAAGTAAAAAGTTCATTCTTTTTAGCACAATATTTGATTCTATAATATATAGGCAAATATATATATATATGTTTTGCTTTTACACACTAATGGTTACAGTAAAATAATTGCAGTTCTTAAATGGTTTGACAAACTTCCATAAAATTTCTATGACAAATAGTTGAAATATGGTATTATATAATGACAATCTGTCTATTCGTGACACCCTTTTCTTTTTGAGTTATAAACCCAGAGGCGCAGAGTCTATGGCTAAAAAGAAAAACTTTACTCTAACGGAAATGCAAGATTCTCTTTTTCACTCACGCATTCAAATAGCGCAAAAGAAAAATCGATTTACTTAATACACAAAAAAATTTATATTTATTCATCAGCAATTAATAGAGGATGTGTACGAAGTTTATGCTCTTATTGCTACAAAATAAACATTTCTTTATTCGAATTTCCACATGGAATTTCCTTTGTCGTCCTTCAGCACACACCACTAGATTCTATACGACTAAGTAATAACCATATTGATCAGTCGCAAATCGAACACAATTATTTTCATCTTACAAGGGAATGTTAATAAATGTCAAATTACTTTTGAGTCAAGACTATGTACAATCATATAGGTTCTAATGAACTATGAATGTCTTGAAAAGAGTTTAGGCTAATAACTTATTGTTGCCAAGATATACTACTGTACTTTTACAGTATTCTTTAGCTGAATCCCATGATCTCATTCAAAAACATCAGAAAACTGAATTTCGACTTGAAATTTTGCATAGAGATAGGTGTTATTTAGAATAACTTATTGTGAAAGTTTCTGATTATTCGATTATGTCTATACTGAAATGAAAAAAATCGAAATTAGCCATTGTATATGAGAGACGAGAAAAACATGCTTTTATCATAGGCATATCTCAGAACAAAAAGCAATTAAAATATCTGAAAATTTTAAGCTGAAATTCGAAACTCAGGTTTTCCGGTGTTTCTAAGGGGAAGTACAATATTCTACTGAAAACTTAGGCCGAACTCTTCAGGGTGTTCATAGCTCATTTGAATCTACATACTTCCGATTGAAAAGTGATTACGCACTTAGAAGCATTCTCTTAGTTGCCAAAACTTATTTTTTCTTTATAATGACCCCAAATCCTACAGCAATGGCTACTTGCCGAAAATTTTCTCTCTGAAAAAGTCTTGTATATGTCTGATACTAATAAAATATGTTTTTTTTAATATTTATTTTTCTATAAATAGTTCCTAACAAAGAGAGTCATCTGGTACATTTTTTTCATTACAGCGAAGAAAATTATTTCCTCATCAATAAATTCAATATATCGTTTTTGATTTTTTTTTTATCTAATTATAGAATAAATTTTAGATATGTCACATACAATTCTTCTTCTTCAATCAACAAATAAACTTGATTCACGTACTTATTCTGATTATGAATCAGTTGACGAATGTCTTGATGGTAAAAAATAAAATTTTAAAAACAAAACAAAACATTTCTTTTATAGGTGTTTGTAAAGTATTTGAAGAACATTTAAAAAAACGTAATCCAACATCACCATCAATAACATATGATATATCGGAATTATTTGAATTTATTGATCAAATATCTGATCTAAGTTGTTTAGTTTTTCAAAAACAAACAGGACAATATAAACCACATAATAAAGAATGGATTAAACAAGAAATTTTTCAATTGTTACGTAAACAAGCAGCTGGTGGAAAATAAATCTCTTAGCCTTTTGTTATTCTGTTAGCTTCATTTCATTTGTTCTTTGTTTTTTTTTTCTTGACTTTGAATCTATGTGAATTCTTGTCATTTTTGTGTCTTAGTAGTTATATCGAAAGATAAATAAACATAAGAAAAAGCAATATCAAGTCTTATCATTCTAAATCTTGTATATAATTGATTCATTTGTTTAAAAAGTTCAAAATAGTTCATAAAAATATGAAGTAGAGTATACTCAGAGGTCATGTCATTGAACAAAACATTTGAAATTGTTTAGCTCTAAATTAGAAAAGCTGTTCCCGTAATCCTCGCGGCATTAAAATATGAAAAACAATGTAAATATTCTTGTCAATTAAACGGAGATTATTTTATTCTATCTATTGCGCGACACATTTCTTCATCATCATTTGATTTAATGCTTGAGTAACGCAAAAAAGGCAGTAATTTATATCTTATAATCAGACGTTATTGATATACGATTTGTGACGGCGGAAAAAAGTGAAAATTTCTATCCTATATACTTCAACAGTCCTTTTAGGTTGTGCATAGAGCTCGGTGTGATTATCACATCGTGATCAAAGAAAAAAAAAGCATTGTTTGATAATAGTTTCCATGTTTGATGTGATTAAATAATTTTCATTTGATCCTTATTATTTAGTATATTATTATATCTCCGAGTAGTATACATTATTTTGAAGAGTAAAAAAGTTCTGAATATGAAGGATCTAATAGAATTATTTTTTCACATCGAAAATTAAAAAAATATTATCGAACAATCTTTTTTTTTTTCTTTAGTCACGTTGACCTTTAGTCGTGTGCTATAAAATCCTCCAGTTAAATTGTTAACTTTTCGTGATAGGATACTTCTGGTTGAAAAGAAAATTTATTAGGACATTAAGAACTTTGAAGCATTTATTTCATGTGACAAAACAACCGGATAAAAATCAGGTTATTATCGATATTTGTCTAATAATTACAAAGAGTGGAGTGAATATAACACGGTTCGATTAATTTCAATGTAAATTTTTGATCATTATTAATTTTGTTCGATGAAAATCCGTTAAAATTCAGTGAAAAGATTATATTTACATATAGTCTTATTTTGAACTGGGAAATTGTATTCAAATTAATTTAACCTTGTTCTTCATCATATCCATAGGCATGGGCATCGATATTCGTAAGTATTATAGATATTATATACCACAATGACAATATGTTGTATTGAAAATGGGATTTTTTTGTAGTCTAAGCTAACGCTAGAAGCCAATGATTACTATGGGAAAAAATTCTATCAAGCCTTTCACTGAAATATATAAAATTCAAGTTCAATTTGCACGAATTGTTTTGGATGACTGAAGATTGAATAGTGTCATTTAAATTAATTTCAATCTAATCTAGAATGAGACTATTGGTGTCGGATTTGCATGAGAGAGGTACAAAAAGTCTTTACCCATCCTCACATATCCCAGGTCGAGCCAGATATGGGTCTGTAAACAACTCGATGGGCTCTCAGAGGGGACAGCTTGTAATTAGATGATAAATCTAACCGTTATATCAGTTTTCAATATATATGCTATAGCACAACCAAGTGCAGATTGGTTATTTCCTCTCTATTTTCTTTTTAGACTGCACATTATTGAGAAAAAGTTGTCAGATTCATGAAGATGGACTACGAATAAGGTGAGTAGTAAATAATTAATTTTGCTCGTATTTTCGTTATAGTTCAGAATTGAACTATATTGTAAAAGATTAATCGATTTATGATTTAGCTGTACTATCTCGATTTGAAACAATTCATATAGCGCAGTTTCAGCTTTACTTTATTTGCCGTACTTTAACTTGGTGATGAATTTACGATATTTTATCTATTATTGAAATCAATTAGCAAGTGGTAACATATTGAAATATCCGCTTAGAAATGATAATCGGTTAAATATGATTAAGCAGTAATGAGAGTCTGATACTGATTAAAAATTAACAGAGAATTAGAACAGATTATTCCCATCTAAAAAAAAAAAAGACGAAAAAAACTGGTTTTAATTAGATTTTTAACTGTTGCAAAATTGATTTTAAATTACAAAAAAGATTGAAGTTGGATTATTTTCGTCTTTTTCTTATTTTGTAGTGTTATACCAATATGTCAGGAAAAAATATAGGTCATATAAATCATTCATAGGTATTGAACGTAAGAAGTTCGTTGAACAAAAAACGTGTACTAATACATAATTTTTCGACATTTCCTAGGAGAGTCTATGAGATATAAAACAAAGCTCTCTGTCTAAGATGTCGTCATGCCATCAAAAAATTAATGATAATTGTCGGAAGGAGAGAAGCACGTTTAAAGTCCTTCGTCACGTCTGTCTGATTATCTTGTAGATTTAGTTTTACTTTCTTTTTAAGTCACTCATATCGTCTTTCTCAAAAGTTCATTTTTTCTCGTTTTGACACTTTGTTGTTGGTTGTAGTAAAATACCGATGGTTGGCAGATAAGTTGTTTTACCTCTACATACGAATTTATTAGACGAGAAAACACTTTCACATTGAACTGAATGTTTATATACTAAAATAAAAGGTATCGTATTATAAGTAGTCTGTTAGTCTATATAATTATTCTTTCTCATGTTTTGTTTTGCGCGTACAGTTACATATAGTTTATTTGCGAGGAAACGTTTCCAGGTGTCCAATCACTTTTTAATCGATACTATATTGCGATGAGAGATTATGCTGAGTCGTGTAAATAGTTAAGAAGGCTCGATTGTCTCAGCTTTCTTCCTTAAGATATCAAATTTTTATGGATTTTTTTTAAACAGATAGCTGTGATCGCCGTCAGATGGCCATGGAAATCGAATTATAAATCCATGAAATTTTCACAATGAACTAGCATCATTGAGAGCTTCGTTTGTGCAAAATTTCAAGTCGAAATTTGATTTTCATGGTGACCTGAGAGAATCTACATCTTTCTGTTGAAAAACGCAGTAAAAATTCGAACAACTGAATTCTCTTTGATTTTTTGTATTACTCACCATAGCTTCTCACATGAATATAGTCTCGATCAAAAAGCGATCGGACACTTAGGAATGTTCCCTTGTGAATTGAACATAAATATTTTCGCATGTTCTTTGTTTTTGATAATTTCTTGATGAGTTCTTTATTCGAGAACATACTGACTGTGATCGATTGATGATTAAAAATGAACTGTCGTTGAATTACTCGGATCAAGATTGAATCTACTGAAGCCGAGTAGATCTTTCTTTCTAGGCTCCAAAAATAGATCGTATCCATGTGAAAAAAAATGACAAAATACTAATTATTTGCTTCCACAAAAAGAAATACATTATGAATACGTCGAAGACTCGATTGAAAACAATTTTTAAAGATGTGTCACAATGTGTAATAGATTTAATAAATGTGTGTGCTTTATCTAGATTTCTCGTTTTTTTTTTCTTAAGATCGTGTTTCACAAAGTAAAAGTATTTTTCAATTAATTAAGATTATAACAGTTGTATTATAGAAGAAAAGTTCTTATTAACGATTGAAATGACGTAAATAGTAGATACATGAGTTAGGCTGGAATTTTGACAAACGGAATTTTGCCACTTGATTTTTTGACAATTTGTCCAATTTCTGCAAAGAATTTAACAATTGAAAAGATTGTTAAAGCTTCAGTGAGAAATCCAACAAATTGTTGAAATTTCATAGAACTATTACTAAGAATAACAGTGGTGAAAATTTAATTTTTCTAATTAGAATTATTCTTCTTCTCTTTATTATTATTTTTTTTTGAAACTACAACTATTTTTAGACATAGAAGATATTTATATATGAAATAAACAACAGAATGAAAAGATTCATGTTTCAAGCTCATTAAACTTGTTTTTTTAATCCGAAAAAATATTTTAAAAAAGCATATAAATTATTTTATCTTCATAATGACATAGAATAGAGAAATATTAACAATCTTCATAAGTTAGTGAAGAAAATAGTAAAAAACTTCATCAACAACATTAACCTCATCGGTATTATTTCAATCTATGATCAAATAAGCATCGTTGTCAATCGCAGAAGATAGACTCTCACCGGAAATAACAAATAGGCAGAAAGAAGAGAAAAAAACAGAAAAGAAGAATATAGAGTAAAAACAAAACAAGAAGTTCATCCTTTCTAACCATTCACATCATATGCTGAACTAGAAATTAGTCAAAAAAATACATATTAAATATTAATTTTTAGGTAAGTAAAATGAAGTAAAGCATTTTCTAGACAGATAAAATATTGTCGTATATGTTTTTTTTTTCTTAATAACGGAAAAAAATCCAACATAAATCTTAAGGTGGATAATAAGTTTTAAAAACCTATTCGAATAAGATACTCGTAATTAAACATTTTTGTATGTGTAAAACTTCAGAAAGTTATAAAGAACGAAAAATTCTTGATAGATATTATTGAAAAAAAAGTATGTTCAACTAAATAAACATCATATTTAATGAAGACAATAAAAACTATTAGTCACTAGTTGATTGTCTTAGAAATTTGCACCATAAACAAGGTAAAATTCAACTCATAATTACCAGAGATGAGTAAAACCAGTCAAATAGCACTTATATAGAGAATTTGTATGCATTTTATTATTTATCCTTAATTTGAAATGTAGATAAGTATGTGACTTTTTTTTTACACTCCTTGTAAGCTTCATTCAAGATATTTGTAAATAAAGTTGTATTTTTTTTTTCAGTTACGTTCTTTTTGTATTATTGTGAAACCTTGTTATAAAGTCGTTTTGTCAAGAATGTAAAACTAAGAGTAGAACATTTGAAAAATATTACTTGAAATTGAGTTTTGATTTGCTTGACTCGTGATCAAAAATCCTACGGCTTGATTATCTCTTATAATTATCCTAAAATTATAATTATTTCAGAAAACAATGTTTACAGGAGTGTGCACAAAGGACACTGTTTTTTTTGCATAAATGAATTAATTAGATAATAATAATAATAGCAAGGTCACGCATGCTAAGTTCAAATGAATGTAAATGTTATTGAAAGATTTATTTTTCAAAAATTTCATGGTTAAGTAGATTCATTGATGTTAAGAATCAGACATTTTCAAAAACCAAGTGCTTCTCATTAATTTATAATATTAGTGTTTTAGGTCACAAAAATACGTTAAATATATATATTCATTTAACGTCATTAATAATATTTTTAGAGAAATAATATTTTGAACCTCATGCATAATATTTTTTTCCTCTCATTTAAATGAATGACGCTAGAACAAAAGATTTTTTCTTTTCTTAAAATAATATTAAAAAAAATGAATCTTGCCATTGTAATCCTATGTTTAGCATAAGGGAATATAAGTAGAGCAGAAATCTATGGCGTAAACAATAAGTTGAATTCATTATATGATGATCCTGCTATATTTCCATTATAGCATAGACTTTATTTTATGATAATCGATCTTTATGTTGACGAATAAATGAATATTGATAATTTTTCTCTAAATACATACTAAACTAATAGTATTATGAAAATAAATAGGTGCCATCGATTATTATTGAGGTCATAAGATCGAAAAGAAAAACAAACAATTAGACATCTACGCGAATAATAATTCTTCGTACATTTGAAGTATAGAATACTGGTACTCAGATTTATATGTTTCTGTCTTGAATACAAATTATGTTTTCTAGTAATAAAACAATTGAATGGCTTTTAAAAAAGATGTGTTGATAAAAACTCTTTTATCTCTATATAGTGACTCTTTGCAAATGAGTTACTTTTAGATAGTGACTTGTAGATGAATATGAAAAGCTTGTTGAACAAGCATTGTTAAAAAAATAAAAATAACCATTTCACGACAGCATATATGAAATGATCGTTTTATTAGTTCGCACTCTCTCAAGTATATCCTTCACCATGTGTTTTAGGTTATTTCTATTAACTTTATACTTATTTTTTCCTATTCTAATTGAACTTATATTTATTAACCATTGTCTCAATGTAATCACATGAATCAATAATGATTGTTTAATATGCCCTATCATGTTATGATTATCTCAATCTTTTTCTACAAGCAGAAAAAGAAAGAACCATACGACGTTTTCAAGATTTTGTTTTCTATTGTAAAAAAGAAAGACTAAACTTTACATTGAATAATCTTCGACTAGCCAGTACTAATGATAATATTGTTAACGGGACGTGTACTTAGTTCGTGTCAAAATATGAATAAAATGCGGCACAATATTCGTTAGTTTTCTCAATTCAATGATGATAATCATCTAACAGCTGGAACAAACATTTCTTTTTGTTTACTATTCAAATAAAGTCAACGTAGTGTTTTGTTCAATATGATAAAATATATCCTACTGAGTTAATTATTTTGAAAAAATATTTGTTTTTTTTCTTATTGTAAATATAGATGATACATTAAAGAATCAAATGTCATTATTTCCTGTTGAAATCGATAATCAAAAATTGCAAATGCTTGATCTTATCAAAGAAATCTTTTCTCGTTATTGTCTTATTGGATTATTTATTTTTGGTACAGTTGGTTTAATCTTAAATACATTAATATTTACACGGCACACATTTCGTCAAAATTCATGCGTTCTTTATTTTTTAGCATCAACAATCGCTAATTATTTTGTTGTCTTTTTTGTTTTACCATCGCGTATACTTTCCGATGGTTTTAATATTGATCCAGGTCAATATAATGCATTTTATTGTAAAATACGTTTTTATACATATTTTACTGCTAAATCTCTTTCATCATGGTTTATTGTACTCGCTTGTTTGGATCGAAAAATGTCAAGTTCACAAAATGCTCATCGACGTGCATTTGCACGTCCTAATATAGCACGTTGGATGATATTTTTAACAACATTAATTGGTCTTATTTTTTATAGTCATGTTCTTATATTTTATGATATTGATCGAAATCAACAATGCAATGCTCGTTCTGGTTTTTATAGTTTATTTAATGATGGTGTCTATTTAATTGGTTATAGTCTTACACCTCCTGTATTAATGTTACTTCTTGGTCTATGGACTATACTTAGTACAAGACGTCATCGTCGTATTGTACCACGATTTGGTCGACGTATGTCAAGTATAAATCATCATGATAATACACTTATGTTAATGCTTCTTTTACAAGTTACTCTTGTATCAATTACAGCTGTACCACATGCTGTACAAAAATTATATTCAACAATAACAATTAACGTTCCGAAAGATGATTTAGCTAAAGCAGGTGAAAATGTTTTTATAACTGTTGTTCGAACAGTATCATTTTTTAATCATGCATGTACATTTTATCTATTAACATTAAGTGGAAGAACGTTTCGTAAAGAACTATACAAAATATTAAAAAAAATGATTTGTAAAACAAGACATGAAGAAACAAATACAAATGTTCAATTAAGAACATTAACACAAACAGTTAATATTAATAGAACTACTCATCATTCAAAAATACAATTACATTAATTCATCAAAACAAATGAAATATATGAAGAGAAAATATTTTCATCTGTAATCAAGTGGATATGTTCAATAAGAAAAAACAAACGAAGAATTTCAATTAAGACTAATTCATATGTATGAATCATCTAAGAATTGATAATAAAATATTCTCTTAGAGAAGTAAAAATTATCTAAAAATTTTCTCGGTCTCATTAATAAAAAGTACTGTTTCTTTTTGAAGATAAAAGAATTATTTTAGAAAATTATAATTACAATAATGCACGACATGTAATTGCATAATGAGAAAAAACAGCAGGAAAAGGAGAAAATGAAAGAAGTTATATTTTTATCAAAAGGAAAAAATAACGTTGATTAGTTAATTTTGGAGCTAAATAAGTAGAAGTAAATATTATTTGAAAATAAATATATCAAAAATAGACATTGAACAATCTTACGAAGAACTAAATATAAGTAATTTGAACTCTTATATAGAGAAGTATATGTTCTAATGACTAAAATCTATTTGTAGAAATAATTGCTCAATGAAACGATATATTATTGAACTTAATGATATATTCATTTCTTTAATAGTCGAACATCCGATTTAGTTGACACGTTTTTTTGCTGCAAAGAGTTAAGTCTGAAAAAATTATATTTGGTGAAAACTATACCATAAAAAAACACACATTTCCAGCAACGTATGTTGTTTACAACTTTTATGTCTTAGATAAGTGTTCATCTACACATAAACTTTTTTGATGCATTGTACACTTCCTTCAACATTAGTCAAAAGAATATTCTTACCTATCATAAATTAGCTAGAATAAAAAATATTTGTTTTGATATCAATACTTTCCAGATTTTACTTTTTTCAAACAAAAAATAATTATACTCAAATCAACGTTTCATTGTTGAGAAATAAATATCGACATTTTTCCTAAGCCTTTCGCATCAGTTGTTATAACTATACATTAATGCTCAAAATTATAATGACAATGTAATTTTAATTTCTTGTGTGATACCGAATACTTAATTAAAAAGCAAAAAGTGATTTGAATACCCAATAAAGTCTTCTATCAAATGCATTATATATATCAAAGTTTCAGAGTTGAAGTATGGGGGAAAGATTTCTAAAAAAAATGAATATATTAGTTTTTAGGTTTCGGAAAATATTATGAGTTCCTTTTTTTTAATAATCCTATCTAAAACCTTACCAATATCCCAAAAAATATCAGACAAGGAAAATTTATCAAAAAAAAACTAGTAAAAGATGGGCTCTTTCATCTATTGTGATACTTGGAACTTTGAAAGGAAATGAAGTAAAAACCAATGACTTATCATTTTGTTCAGAATTTTGTGCTCTTTTAGATAGGACTGTTGAAAATGAACTCATATAAAATATTTTGGTACGCAAAAATGACCATGTACAGTTTTATAGAAAAACTTTTTCATCCACTTCAAGTAGGAAAAATTAACATATGGTGCATATGGTAGAAAACTTATTAGTTATCCAAATCACTATTGACGTTTTATTTAGACACTCGACATCACAGAAAAAAAAATCGAATTATCATATTCTTATAATTTTAAGCAGTTCTGTATTTATTGTATATATAATTAGTTTCCTTCTTCTCTTCTTTTATGCATGATTCTTTCGATTGCTGCTGAATGATTAACTATATATTGGATAAGGAATGTTGATATTTTGTTTGATCATTTGAAATGCTAATCTGTAAAATTTCATAATTGATGCATTTCAATAAAGTGGAAAGTGTTAGAAAGTATTAGAAATAGAATCAGTGCTTCTCATCTGTAATATTGCGTATTCTCTTTTATGTTTTGATTATCTTTCATACCACTGCATGTTTAGTTTTCTATCATATCATGTGTTTTCTCGTATTTCTATTTCTTTCCTTTCTGTTCAATAATCATTTTTCACCTTTTCTGTTTCTTTCAGGTGTTTTTTCTTTTGAAATGCTCTGATGTTAGCGCATCCAAGGCTTTGTTCAAAAACTTACACCCACAATAAAATCTCTGTAATGTGAACGCCGTTGGAATCGACGAACATCGTTCTATTTGACACTATGATTATTTTGGAGAATGTTCAGAAAAGAATGAAAAATCAATTTTGTTATCTTCGACCTCCTTCTGAGTGTCTTTTATTATTTTATTCAATAGTTTTTTTTTAATGTTTCTAATACAAAACAAACATTGAGCAATTTTGGATTCTTAATCATTATTATAATAAAGTTTTCTTTCAAGAACGTTTAGTACATCATCGATGATAGTTAAAGTTTTCCTCTTAGCTCATAACGTGACAAATTATGTTCTGTATATTTAGTTAAGTTTATTTTGTACTCTGAGTTAAGGTCATAGCGACATATCATATGTAATATACAAATGTTGAAAATATATGTAAAACGATAATGAAAATTGTTTGTTGATTCTTTTTCTTTCTCTTTTACGCTTTCATTGAATTAAATCATGGAGCATAAATAAGCCAAGTCGTGATAATCATCTTCACAATTCTAGTCATATAATTTACCTACATGACATTCTCTATTAATGTTTATCTTGACAAGGTCAATACATACTGTCGGAATCAAGGGATCAATTGATATCCGGCAAAATTCGCTCAAGTGAACCGGAGAATGCTCAGTATAACAGAGTGTTCACTAGAGAGATTTAACAATGATTCTTGATTCTTGGCCATATATGACTTTTGAGTAAAATTATATTTATTTTTGACTGTTATCCAAACAAACAGTAGTTTTTCCGAGTGGAACAGTTTAGAGATCTGCACAAGACTCCAACAGAGTTGAAGTTGATATAAATTATAGAAACTCTGAAAACCTTCTTGCATTTTATTTTTGTCTTATGTAACATAAATTGGTGAAAATTTCACTTGTATTCTATGGTTTTTTCCATAGTACTAATTTAACAAAATCGTCTTGTTTTCTTATTAAATTTAGAACCTCTTTGTGTGACAAAATCTTGATAGTCATTTCAAATATCTTGAATACACAATAATATTCAAAAATTTAATCAATTTTAATTTTTCTGTCTAACATCTAACATATCTATTTATTTACTCACAATATTTATAAATCATATATGATTCATGATAACGCACTAATCTTAAATAACCATAACATCTCTGAACATGTAAGCTATCGCTAATTAACAGAAAGAAAAATTTCTAGAACCAGAGTTAACAAATTTACACCAAAGTAATTAATGTATTCTTATGTATTTTTTGTTTACAATGACACTTTGTGTAGTTAGGAATACATTTTCCGTTGAATTATAATTTCAATTAAAATAATTGTGTTTTTTCTTAAAATTTTCTTTTCATAAGAAAATAAACATTTTGTATTGATAAAACTCTTAAGTCATATCATTCATAGAATAGCAACTGCTAGACAATAAAAAAAATTCAGCTAGTAAATATTTTCTATGAAGTGAATAACAAAGATCAATATATTTAGATTGTCTTTGTGATTGTTTAGCTAATGAAAACCAAATCAATTCAACAATATCAAAATGTGATGGTATTAATTGTTTTCCATCGAATAATTCATGTCAACGAATTGAGTAATCATGGATTCAAAAAACAGAAATATCGTTGAATTCTACATCAGATCAATCTGTAAATACGATTGCTCTCAACTTTTGTTCATGTTATTCTAGTCAAAATATACTGAATAAATATGAAAACGTTACTCCTGTTACTATTACACATCCGATGGCTCGTTATATAACATATAATGCATATAATGATACACTTATTGTACTTGAAGATAGCTTTATTGATGATTATTTTGTATCAAATTTAAGTCGATTTCAAAGGTTTTCCGTAACAGATATTCCAATAGCTGTTTGTATTGATTCAATGAATATCTACATATCATTTTTTCGAAATATGAGTATCAATAAATATTATTTGAATATGCAGTTTATTCGATCTATAGTAAGACCAATAACTTCTACTACTTCTTATTTTTATGGCTTAGCAAGATGAAAAAATAATTTGTTTGTTAGTGATGTCATATTAAGTTTAATTTGGTGTATGAATTTAAATACAACACAAATGTCAGTATATTTTAATTTGACTTCGTACGATATTTCACCATATAATCTTGCTATTTTTGATAATCATCTTTACATTTCACAATTTTCATTATTGATCATTTAAATATTTGATCTATTTACTGTTCCAGTAAAATCTATTACATTTCCTAATTCAATGCCACTTTATCATTTGCAAATGAACCGATTTTGTAATCGAATTTGGTTTGATATAAACCAAGAAAATTATACATCGGTACCTGCTGTTAATTTTGACATGAATGAAGCACGTTTGTATCAATCAAAAGGTTCACTAAGACAAACAAGAGTTTATAAGGTGGAATTCGATTCGGATTATTCAATGTATACGGTCACAAAAGATGGAAATAGTTTTTTCAAGTATTCAATATCAACTAAAATTTGTGGAAAAAACTGATTTATTTTTATATTGAATAAATCGCCTTTTTTCCTCTCCAGTCAGTTAATCTAAACTGTTCGTATCTTGGTAAATTGAGATTCTAATAAAATCAAAAAGTATTACGACAAAAAAAATCAGTTTCCTATTCTTGTTTTTTTTTGTATTATATATCTGTTGAAAACAATTTCAAAGTAATTAAATCGAGAGAAGAAGCAAAAGAAATTTATCCCAGACAATATAATATAATCATGATTTGATTTTGAAATTGTTTTTTTTTATTATAATGCTCTATTGGCTTGAAGTAGTCGCATATTTACATATACTATGTTATTTTCTTTCATGACAATAATATAGAATTTGACAATATTAATTACGAGGAAAAAATAAACTTCTCTTGATTTCATTTTCGATAAAGATCGATAATTTATTTGTAGAAATTTTTTTTATATAAGAATTATTTTGAACTACTAGATGGATAATCTAATACAAAACAAAAAAAAATTTCTAAACAAATTTCTGTATGATTTTATATTTTTGTGAAAGCAAAAAAAAACAATTTTTATCCATTTCTTTCATTCGAATTAAAAATAAAAATTCATTTGTTTTATTACAGATGATTTCTTTTTTTTTTTCTTATTAACAATGATTCTATTTTTTTTTAATCGAAAAAAAAGAGAAAAAAAAAAGAAGTCTATAACTGATTATTTTTACACATGTGCGAGACAGACTATACTTTATTTGAATTGAATCTTTCTTTGAAAATAATTGTATTTCGGTAATAATGAACTATCAGTTAGCAGGTAAAGTATTGCCTAATCGATCACAGCCAACAACCCGTAATGGTACGATGATATATCCTGATTTTAATACACAACAGTCAAAAATTCTTGACCGACTCGGTCCTGTATCAGTTCAGCGTGTTAATCCAAGCAGAAACGTTCAACCACAATATTATGATGAATATCTTGCTGCTGACAAAGAAAAAGAAGCACAAACAGGTCGATGGGTTTTAAATGTTATAGCAGCAAATGAAGCATATCAAAAAGCACATATGGCTAATAATAATAATAATGTTTGGTATACAGATTCAAAACGATCATCCAATGTAAGATGAAATAAATCCTGACAGATATAATAAATAAATTAATTTTTGTTCTCAAAGAAAAAACTTAGTTTTCAATCAAAAAAATCCAGCAGAGTAGAACCAATCGAGGTTTGTTTTTTTTTTTAAATGAGATCGTATTAATTTATCTTTTAAATTATTACGCAGTTATCATCTCAATACGTTGATTCGCGATTGCATCAAATAGAAAGAAGACATAATAAAAATCAAGTTCGTCTTATTTTTCTTTTGAAAAATAAACAGTAATATCTATGTTAAAAAATTCATATAGAGTAGAAGTCGATTACCAAATGAAACCATAATAAATCCAGCACCAATTCACAACGGTCAAATTACTTCTTTGTCAAGATTTTCTAGTGCAACACCAATTTATGACATTGAAACAATAGAAAGATCAATAATATTATCATCGACAAGATCAAGCAGTCGATCAAGAGATTGTTCAACAGATGATTTTAATAATAAGTTAGCATTTTGTTTTGTATACATATTTAAATATATAAGAATAATTAATTGAAATAGTGATGAGAGCACATGTCTATCAAAACGAATGATGATCATAATTACAATAATATCAATAGTTCTTATCATTGGTATTTGTGTTGCAGTTTTAGTTACGATATTAGTTGGTCGAAGTAAGTCAAGAAAATTTAATTTCTTTAACAAATATATAATTTATTCATAGATGGATCATCTACTACTTCAAGTGGAAAGAGTAAGTCTTTATATAAAAGAAAAAAAGAACAAATTTTTTTGTTAGTAAAACTTATTGTTAGATAATTGCAAATCAACTTCTAACGAATGTTAAATTTTAATTTCTATTAAAAAAAATCTTCTTGGTTCTAGGTCTTAAATTAATATTAACTCCATTAAATCAAAAAAATCATTTGATATGTCCAATGCAAATGTTCAATATAACTGATCCATTATGTAAAGGACAATTTACTTATAATTATTATTCATGTTATCAAATGGCAACATCAAAATTATTTACTATTCAATTTGCTTTACAACATGATACATTATCTGGTCATTGGTATTTTGATGATATCAGTGTTGTACAAAATAATAATATTCAACTCATTATTAATGGTGGATTTGAATCGAATTTAACTGGATGGACACTTAATATTTCATCAAATTCTACACCAGATACCTATGTAGATAGAATAACAAATTTAGCTCATACAGGTTCTGCTTATCTATATGGAGCTTCGAAATATTATCCGGCTTATATACAGCAAACATTTAAAGTTATTCAAGGTGAATATATTAATGTAAGTTTTTGGTGGAGATATGATGGAGGATTAAAAATAGGACATACATGTCAAGTTATTGGACAGTTAATACCATTATTATAATGTTTATTATGTTTTTTTTTAAATGTAGTCAGTTGAACATTGTAATCGATTTCTACATCAGTGAATAAAAAATTACAATTTAATAGTTTTTGATCTTTTTTTTAGTTTTATTACCCTTGATGGTACATATTTAAATAATTCATGAATTCTCATCTACCATATATATACATATTCATGAGATATTGAATTTAGTGATTGAAGTGTAATCTATATTCTGATTGAATACAATTACATTCAAAGGTTTATCTACAAATGTAGTTTACTGTTTTGGTAATGGACATTTCTTTTTTTTTTCTGGAAATATTTTAGTAGAAAATATTTTGATGCAATGGGAAACTCCATAGAAAATAGTAACATTACAATTGTTTACGAATGTCACCTGCTTTCGTAATATGAAAGGAGAAAATGAGATATTTATCTATTTTTCTTATTGACTTTTGATTGTTTGTAGTTCTAAGAGCCTAAGACAATAAATTGTCGCGAAAGCAGCTGTTCGGAGAGTAAAGGTTGCAGGAGCGACACTCGTTAATGAATGGAAAAGATTTAATTTTAACCTCATTTTGTTTCCTTGCATTACTTGATATATAATAAGCAAGACAACAGTCATTGGATGAGTATTCATTTATAAAAGACCCTCAAGTGCTGGAGATATTCTTAACTTGTATGTCACGCTTCAAATTGCTAGTGAATTAATATCAGAAATTTTGAGTCATCATTGTATCCGAAAACATATCAATAAGAAAAGTCAGGATTTGCAAATACAAGTAAAAGATGTACTTTGATGTAACGGGTGGCCCAGATTAAATGGACCTCTCAGTATTTTGACTATAACTTTTTTTCTTTTCGGTCTTTAGAGCTAATTGTTTTTCCAAAAGAAGCACCGTCAAATTCTCTGTAAAATCATAATCAAACTTATTTGTGTAGAAAGTTAAGGAAAAAAATTAGACGAAGATTATCCGACACATTAAAAGTACTCCACTTTCAAAGCTGACGGATGTCTCATAAGTGTCCGATGTTTGTATCTCTTTTTTCTATCGCCAAGCACATTATTTTAGAAGTAAAGTATACCATACGATGAAACGTGAAAAGCTCTACAAGTTACATTAAAAACCTTATTTTATGCAAGCACTCTTTGTTTTCAAAATGGACAAAATTCTATGCGACCAATTTTCGACGCTGCGAACAAGATCATTTTTGGTCGCACAGAGTTTTGCTTATAATAAAAACAAAAGATGCATATATATAAAATAAACTGTTCTTTGTAGATTGTAGAGCTTTTCACGTTGCATCTTGTAGTATATTTTCTTTTCTTTTAATACAACATATTAGGCGATAAAAAGATGAAATAAGAAAAAATGAATTCGTAGTATACCAAAAACTGATCTTGTTCGCAGCGTCGAAAATTGGTCGCACAGAATTTCGTCTATTTTGAAAACAAAGAATGCATGTATAAAATAAGGTTTTCAATGTAACTTATAGAACTTTTCACCCTGCGTCTTATTGTATACTTTGCTTTTCAAATAGACGTACTTAACGATAAAAAAAAGAGATACAAACACCGGTTAACTTTGAAGGTTGGGTAATTTTAATGTGTCGGATAATCTTCGTTTAATGTTTTTCCTTAACTTTCTACACAAATAAGTTTGATTATGATTTTACAGAGAATTTGACGGCGCATCTTTTGAGAAAACAATTAGCTCTAAAGATCGAAAAGAAAAAAAGTTATAGTCAAAATACTGAGAGGTCCATTTAATCTGGGCCACCCGTTAAATATAACGTCTTTAAAAGCAGGATTTTGAGATTTCCTTTATCAAAGTGATCCACCCAACTTCAACCATGAACCATTCCAATCGTATTTCTACATCATGAAAAGTAATTTTTCATACAAAAGATTCTCCTAGTGTATTCAGGTGATAGTATACGGGCTGGTTTCCACCGGAAAATTTGGAAAAATGGTCGAATCTTGGAAGTGAAAATATCACGTGAGGATTCAATGAGCCACTGATACAGACATGGTATTGCAGCTACCAAAGTCGACCATTTACAGAATCGTCCTAGCAGAAACTCACTATGACTGAGCACTCGAAGTATTGAATTGAGATAATAGCGAAAAAGCTTTAAGTATTGTAAATTTGTCAATCCTTTTACAAAATCATTTAATGATGCACCAATTTATTATAATATAAAATATTGCAACACTTTATTCGTAACGATTTGCTCATGAGACGAAAAAGTCTGATCGCTATACTAATCAAACTACTGATTTAAATCGAGAGATAAACTTTTCTGTTTATAAAAATTCTTGAAAAAACTTGATTCCCATGTAATTTAGTTTTATTTTGAACTGAATCTTGTTTTTATCCTTGATAAAAAATATATTTTCGTGTTAAAAAATGAATGAAAAAAAAAGCCTGAATTAATCATGTAAATTGAACAGTAGATACTCTTGTTTTTTCTGTTTTATCTTATTATTGTTTGTCATGACTCTTTTACAACACTTAATTAAACATTAGCGATAATATAAATATCTTCTGGAACTGGTTTTTTTTTCAACAGAGAAGTAATATCTCAATTTTTTTCGCTAAGTGCATCATAAGCGTTTGTTTTTATCGTAATAATCTGCAACACAACAGGCAGCTTAAGTGATGTCTAGTGACATGTGGATGGTCCTTCAATGTGCTTTTTATTCAGTTCTATGGATAACCGTTTCCACGATTATGTGAATACAAATTCAAAAAAATATTATTCATTAAAAACTTCATTGTTTTCTCAAAGAAGAAAATCGCTCAAAAATCTTCTATGGCAATTATTCTACAATCGTAGTAAAATATCTTTTTTTTAGTGGCTGAAACACATCAAAATATATCGATTTCAACGAGAGAAAAGAGTTATGTAACGTATTGTTTGCTCTTGACATATTCATTAATGATAGAAAGAGAACATGAAATGTGAGCTTATTTCTTCTAGCAATAAAAACAATTCAATTCATTGTCTTCAATGAATATAGTTATGATGTGAATTAAATCAATATTTACTTAATAATCATATCTATTTCTATTCTCGACATGCATATTGTATGATTATAGCCTTTCGAATTTTGTTCTTTATATGTTAACATGAAGTTCACACCTCATGTACATGGATCAAATTTCCCTTCCCTACTCTATTCAAGTACGATTAGTAATGATAATTTACGCATTTTTTCCTGTACTTCTCGAGTAAGATGGATTCTGATTAGTCATGAGAAAGGAAAGAAAGAACAGAAACGAATGTTTATTATTGATGCAACAACGATAAGATTTTGGCTATACGAGAACATATCAGGCACAAAAATACAGACAGAAAGAAAATAACAGTACTACATAGCTTTGTGTACATCCATCATTCCTTTTGCGATTAAGATTAGTTCTATACAGAATATACTAAAATACTGTATTGTATAAGATAACATTATGGCAGCTATATTTAATGCTTTATTCGGTACATATCGTGAACCAGAGCAACAAAATACTGCACCAAATTCAACAGAAGCAGAAATTAAAACTGCTAATGCTACTGAAAGTCTTCATACATCAGTTGTTGTTGATGATGTTTGTGTAAATTCTATTATATCATCTGAAGCTCAAGCACATGTAACAATTAATAATAAAGTTAATATAGATAATTTAATATCACAATTAAGTACAACACATGCACAAATTGATCAATATTCTCGAGCACGTTCAAACGAAATAAATGAACAAGTAACTTTATTGTTCTTTGTTTAGTTTCATTATAGTTATTTGTTATTCTTTTTCGAAATAGGTTAAAAAATCTATTACTGATGTTCTTGCAAATACACAACATCAACAAGAACAATTATTACTTACTGCAAATCAACGTCATCTAATCATTGAAAATGAATATAAACTTCAATTACAAAAAGCTGTTGAAGCATTAGATGCTGTTAAAGCTAAAACTTTAGCTGATTTAGAACGTGATTTACAAGCTAGACAACAATTAATCATGTCTGAAGCTAAACAACAAATTGATGCTATAAACAATCAAGCTAATACCGATAAGTTAAATAGTTTAGTTGAAGCAGAAGAACTAGCTAAACAAAATATTGCTAATCTAACAGATCAAATTGTTGTATCAAATGAAGCAGAAGCTCAAAATTTATTACAATCAACAACTACTACTATAATTACTTCTCAAGTACAAACTGTAGAGAATCCACAAACCATTGTAACTGTACCTGTTACAGAAACAGTTATTACAACAGATAACCAAAATGTTACAAATGTTGCTGATAATCAAATGCAAGTAGCTGTAAGACGGTAAATATTAGAAGTTGATTTTAGACAAGAAAACATTTTTATCATGTAGCCCATCGGAATTAGTATTAGTACCAAAATTTCCTACAAAAAATGAAGAAAATGTAACAGCTTTAAATTCAACAAATACTGGGTAAATATTTTTGATTTAAGAATATTTATTAAATTAATCATTTTCTCGTAGAGTACTTGAGCCTACAGCACCACCTGCAGCATCAATAGCTGATTCCGCAAATGTCGAAACATAAGTCAAACCAGTACAAGATAATACAAACTTTTAAAATTTGTAAAACAATAGAAAGAATACAAAGCATTATTTTCGCTCTAATAGTATTTATACATCTTATGCTTTGCTAAAATTGAAACCTATACTCCTATTTTTGTATTTATACTTGCAAAATAAGAATACTTTTTTGTTTTTAATTAAGAAATAAACGTGTTTTGCTATAATTTAACGATATTTACACTACTGTTCATATGTTAATTCATTTTTAAAGGTGAAGGATATTGCAATATGTATTGAAAAATTCAATCATGTAACTTGATCACACATGATCTGTTTGTCAAAATGAATATTTTGAGTAGCCTTGTGCTATTTGTTGTTCTTTTTTTTATTTGTTTGGAGCCATTTCATCATCATCATCAGAAGGTAATGCTCTTCTTACCTGTTACTTTAGTTTGAGATCATACCGCTCTAATGATAATTATTCAAGTAAATTTCGATCTGATTTGATACAATTCACATTCCTAACAGTTATCCATTTTATATATCAACAGATCCTATGTGTGTTGAGTTTTATGTCGGTATGAATGTATCAAATACAAATAATTTTGATTTTGAAAAACAATATATTGCTAAAGGTGTTCTCTATGATACTGTTGATAAACAAGTTCTTGCTTCCAGTAAACTAGCATATTTTTCAAATAAAATGTTGCTTATTTTTATTCAATTGTCGTAATCTAAAAACTATGTAATAATGGTTGACATAGAAATTAAAATCATTGGGAAACAAATTAGTTTCCTATCAATTTAATGATGGTATTGTACAGTAAAATGTTTTGTGTACATTGTGAAAATTCAATAAAACAAGAAAAAAATTTTCATTCGTCAAGAGTTACCATCTTCTCTAGTCAAAAAAGCGGAAACAATGCAGAAAGCTGTTTTGTGTGTGCTCTTCGCATTTTTTTACGTTTATATAACTTGTTGTTTTTTTTTTCGTAGCACTTTATTATTATTCTCAAAGTTTCAAAACATAACAAATAATATTTAAAGAAGATAGATATTTTATTAAGCATATTACTTTTTTTGAATGAATTTCCATTTATTGTGTGAATGGTTTTCAGTTAGCAATTCTTTTCCGAGACAACATATTTTTGTGCGTGTTCGTAGAATAATGAAATATTTCAACGAATTTGTATTTCTGCAGCTTTCGAATCTACAGATATGCAATTAAAATAATCATTGGACGAATGTTTCGCTTTCGAAAAAAAGTACTTTCGACATTGGCATTGCTTACTGGAATTGAAGACAAAATGCATCATTTAGGCAATAATAGACTGTAGACGATAGCTACCACAACCTACTTAATATTAACAGATTTTATTGTCTCAAATTTTTCAATAAAAAAATAAACCGAAACTTCTCATATAAAAAAAATGGAGGAGGTGGCAACCTTGACCAAGATAGAGAGTAGTAAGCAGACAAGTTAACCATTACCATTAATCAATGATGTAATTGTGTCGATATTGATATTACCTCCCGCTGATTTTCCTTGACTCTTTCCTGTACTTATCTATTCTTCTCTCTCTTGCTCTCTTCCAAATAAACTTTTATTGTATGTGAAGTAATTACATTCTGGAGACATGAATTAGCTCAATAAACTTCATTACCGAAGGTAGTAGTAGGCTACTCCATCCAGTCTATCGTTACGGTGATCAACACAATATTCATAGAATCTGCAAAGCTACATCACAGTGATTTATCATTCAATATTCGAAAAAAGGATTTTTTTATATAATTGTTTTCAAGGACGAAATTTAAACACGTTCATATGACATCATAAACAGTTTCAGTCGATGCAGAAATTCGACTTAGTCTAATTCAATAGTGTAAATACATTGATCAAACTTTTAAATTGGTTAGCCAATCAAATGTGAGAAGTACACATGTGTTTTATAACTTAGTCTAAACAGGAATATCCCAAAGTGGACAAGATTTAGAAAAGATTGATGACTCCTCAGAAAGCTGATTGGAAGATTTTTGCTGAAGCTAACCGAATTTTGGCGGTGATGATGGGAATACTGGATAAGCAATAAAAGCTGGAACTCCGCTGAAAAAAACAAAAATTTTTCACGATGAAAGGAGTCACTCCTGTTTGAGACACATGTAAATCTAAATGATAGTTCATTTTGAAAAACAATAAGTTAGATTGCAATTATGCATTAGTGATCCGATTCAATTCCGAACATAAAATACTGTGTTTCATTTTTTCTGTATAAGATTTTTTCCAATTTTAATCAATAAGGCTTTCAAGTAAGTGCTTAATTTTTTAAAGATATTTTCCTTCAGGGGATAGGCACGCAAGAAAGAATTATTTTAGTAAATAACTCATGTTTTTTTTTTCTATGTTCTCTTGTGAAAATAGTTATTTGTTATTAGAGTCAAGGACTTCTCAGATATTCAAATTATCCTTCAACTTTATATAGATTATTTGACTAATTATACATCTGTCTATGATTATTTTAAAAATTTATTGAAAACAAAACCGATTTCAAATTAATATTATTATAAAAAAAAAACAGATTTAGTTATTTCTTCATAATTAGACTGAATCGGCTAATTTTGTTTTTAATCATTAATAGAGAAATGTTAGTCAATACCGGTTTACATTCCATTGATTATTTCGAAGAAGATAAATAAAAAAAATGACTAGACATTGCGCCAAGAAGTGTATTTTCAGTACAAAAAAAACGAATCTCAATGGAATATACATTGAAAATATCTCAATCCGATAGTTTTCAATAACACTGGAATATCAATACGGCCTTCATCATAACGTTGCTACGAATTCATTAAACATTTATCTATTATGACTTTATGTTACCGATGTTTTGGAACTAGAGTTTCCATGTCATCTCGTATTCTTGCAATTGATACTAAAGATTGTCATTTTTACAGTAAATCAATAGCAACGTAAATATTTGAATGTGGAGAATTTACACTTTTTATTTTTCCTTTCGAGAATGTCGACCTTCTAAATAATTAACAGTATTTAGTGTTATATTATATTTGGAAAATTTATTGGAATTTTTGTCTCTGGCGATACATTGATTGACACAATGATTACTCATTTCTCTTCTTCCAAATAATTAACGGATAATAAATCGTCCAAACGTTTCAGAACCAATGAAATAACATTATCTCATTTATATTCTGTTTTCAAAATACAACAATGTTTTCTCTAAATTTTTGAATCATTGTACAAGTTGATCATAACATTGATCTTACTGATGAATTGATTATGAAAAAATAAAGATTTTATTCACACTGAACTTGATACAATAAATACAAACAGTGAAGAATCTCGTTAGTCACAAAGGAATTATCTACAAAGGTCATATGAATAGTAAGGGACACGTGTATGACAATTTTGCTTTATAATATTCTTAGTACTTTAATAAGATGGAAAAATTGACTATTGAGATAGGTTAACAGAGTACTACTTGTTAAGTGAAACATGATAAACATGCAAGAAATAAAATCATATTCATTTCCAAAAAGAGCTTATTCTGCATGTATTGTCCTTCAAATTTTACTCGTAATTAGGAAAAAGAAGGTAGCAAATGCTGTTTTGTAATATTATCNATTAACGGATAATAAATCGTCCAAACATTTCAGAACGAATGAAATAACATTATCTCATTTGTATTCTGTTTTCAAAATACAACAATGTTTTCTCTAAATTTTTGAATCATTGTACAAGTTGATCATAACATTCATCTTACTGATGAATTGATTATGAAAAAATAAAGATTTTATTCACACTGAACTTGATACAATAAATACAAACAGTGAAGAAACTCGTTAGTCACAAAGGAATTACCTACAAAGGTCATATGAATAGTAAGGGACACGTGTATGACAATTAATTATGATGATTCTAATGTTAAATTGCTTTATAATATTCTTAGTACTTTAATAAGATGGAAAAATTGACTATTGAGATAGGTTAACAGAGTACTACTTGTTAAGTGAAACATGATAAACATGCAAGAAATAAAATCATATTCATTTCCAAAAAGAGCTTATTCTGCATGTATTGTCCTTCAAATTTTACTCGTAATTAGGAAAAAGAAGGTAGCAAATGCTGTTTTGTAATATTATCCTTGACTGTCATGAAACATGATCCTCTACTTTTCTATGTTAGAAAAGAACAATAGGAAACGAACAAAAGCCATGTTATCCGAGATCAATTAATAATAACACAATAAGCCTTTTGACTTTTACATGATAGTATTTCTAATGCTAAAGTCAAGTAATAATATAAAAGTACACAGGTTTTTCTCAAAAAGAAAAAGGAAAGATAATTGAACATCAAGTATGAGTACTCAGTTAAATGACTTTTTTTTGCTTATTCCGTTGTCGTCGTTTCCTTGCATTTTCAAAGTGGTTAGATTTTTCTTAATTGAAGTCAATAGTGATACTTGAAAAAAAAGTATTTGTCAAGGTAATACTTACAGAACATTTAATTATATCATCTTATTTTAGTTCTTCATATTTATTTATATGAAATTTAATTCTTTAAACTACATGTATAAAAAAAAGGCGCTAATCATCTATTCTATTCATGAACTTAAGGGACATGGAGTATGTTTGCAAGCGACTAAATAGAAGAACAAAAAAGTATTAAAAATAAGTACAGCTATATATAAGAAAAAAAAACGAATGGAATGATTAATATGTATCAAGGTCAATAGAGGATTTAAGAAGAAAACTTAATTATAATATGTGGCTTTTTAAATTAACAAAGCATAGAGTCAATTTGATTAAACAAAACAAAATTGAGTATCTGAAAATGTCATCTTATTAAATATTTCAATAAAAACTAAATCTTCATTATTTGCAGAAACAGGTTATTAAATCAGCTTGAGTCATTTATATGTTCTGACCTCTCATAATAAATCACAACATCTCGAAGTCATTATTGAACTAATGGAGCGTGATATCGTGCAGATTGATTATTTATTG